GTGTTCCATAAGACGGACCTCTCCATAAGGCTCACCAAATTTTTAAGAGAAGAAAACAGATTATTATTTTCCTGTTTTCTTCTCCTAAAAAATTGGTGTATCTTATGGAGAGGTGCATCTTATGGAGCAAAAAAATATGGTAAATGAGATTGCACCCATGTTAACAGTTACAATATTAAGTATTAAGAAAGCTATTGGCCTGAATCCAATTGCTAGTCTCAGATATCATAGAGTTATTGAATCAATGGGATTTACAAAAGTGTGAACTTACTATTCAGCAATTGCTTCACTGAATCTGCCTTAACTGGGACTAGCAATTGGATTTAGGCTTTTAGTTCTCATTCCGGAGTATAATCATGCAATTATTATGTGAAATTACATAGCATTGAAGCTGCTATGTGAAGTCTATATGTTGCTTTAAAGAAACTGACAAAAATTAACACATACTTATCTATATTAGAGTAGAACCATTCGTATATACACCATTTGTGAGCTTTAGGGAGTTTTAATAAGTTACGAAGTCGCAATCCAATCTTTTGCGATGCCTTTTTATCTGGTGTTGGCATTGTCACAGTAAACTTCTGAGCAATAAAAAAAACCAAAAATAGATGATTATTTAAACATTTAAAGTGAAATTTTGACATTTCAAATAGATCACATTTAACTGCATACAAATTGTAACTATTTCAAATTTCATCTGGAATTGTGTTAGGATTAAGATACTGTTCTTTTTCCCCCCAACTGACCAAGAAATCTACACATTTTGCAAGATGGAGAGAGTCCTGAGTAATGACTTTTATTATGCTTATGGTTAATAAAAATAATAGGGGACCAACTACTGTTTGTCAATTATTTTTCATCCCAGCTGTTCTGGCACTTGTCTCAGGCACATTCTGAGTGTTGCCACCACCTCCTCACTAGATCCTTGCCCAGCCTGGCTGTTGAAAGCGGCTAGGCCGATAACAACTGAGTGGGCAGAGACTATTATCAATGAGTCTCTCCTTGAGGGCAGGGTCCCCCTTGCCCTTAAGGAGACACTCATTAGGCCTATCTGAAAAAAAAACCCCACCAATTTGGCGACTGATGATATTAATTAACTCTCAGGGTTGGGGATCGGTGGTCAGGCTTCAGCCTGGCTCCGATCCTTCCTGGAGGACCGTCCTCAGAGAGTTGTCCACTCTGTGGACTCTCAATTGTGGAGTCCCGCGGGGTCAATCATCTCCCCTATGCTATTTAATATCTAGATGAGGCCGCTGGGGGAGGTCATCAGGAATTTTGGAGCTTCATGTCACCAAGATGCGGAGGACACACAGCTCTATCTCTCCTTCCATCCTTCTGCAGTGGAGGCTGTCCCATCCCTTGAGCACTGCCTGGATGTGGTGCTGGGATGGATGAAGGACAACAGACTGAAGCTGAACACGCACAAGACGGAAATCTTGCGGGTGGGGGCCCCTAATGTCAGTGGTCTGGGTGCCTCCCTGTCTTTTGGGGGGCCCACTCTTTCCATGAAGGATGAGGTTCGTAGCTTGGGAGTGCTTTTGGACCCATTGCTATCAATGGCATCTCAGATAGAATCTGTGGTCCGAACCACTTATTTCCACCTAAAGTGAATTGCTCAGCTACGTCCCTACCTTGACACTGGGCCCCTCACCACACTGGTCCATGCGCTGGTAGTCTCAAGATTAGACCACTGTAATGCCCTTTATGTGGGGCTGCCCTTGGGACAGCTACGGAGACTGCAACAGGTCCAGAATGAGGCAGCCAGACTTCTGAGTGGGCTTAGAAAATACCAACATATCTCTCCCACCCTGGCCAACTTACACTGGCTACCTATTCGCTTCCGTACCAGTTTCAAGGTGATGGTACTAACCTATAAGGCCTTAAATGGTTTGGGACCTTGATATTTGGCTGAGCACCTCCTTCCAGTTAGGTCTGCCCATCCTATAAGATCATCACAGGCCCAGAAAACAACCACTAGAAATCAGTGGTAGCACCACAATTATGGACCTCTCTTCCATCCGAAGTCTGCCTGGCCCTTCACTGGGTACATTCAAAAAGCTACTAAAAACCTGGCTGTTTAGAACAGGTCTTCCCTGAATAAGCTACACTCTGATACAATAGTGTTCAATAATATAACTTCTATCATACTGCCATATTCCATGTTTTTATTTTCTTCTATGCTTTTAATTGTATTTATTATATTATAATTTTATCCTCACTTCACTATGATTTTTTATTTTCACCCCTATGTATTAATGTCACTATTTGCTATTTTGTTACTCTGTTGTCTTGTGTTATTTGTTGTAAACCGCTCAGAGTGGCCTTGGCTGCCAGATGGGCGGTATACCAACCAACCAACCAACCAACCAACCAAATAAATAAATAAATAAATGTATGCAGACTCCTCCCACATTTTATCTTAATATTGACAATAGTACTTAATAGGACACTAAAACAGCCTTTCTCTACTTCTCTTCTCCCCTAAACAACCTACTTTTCCTTTATGAACAGATCTGCTGATTGTTTTTCGCATCACATCAACACAGTGATTTGTACACAATGCAGCAAAGTAGTATGCATTCCAAAATAACTAAAGGAAGCCTTTAATCAGTAGCAATTTGCTGCTGCTGTTGACATCATTCAGCATAGCATAGTAAATTTCTGATGGTATCAATCATTGTGGATTTCATCCACCAGCTTTTTCATCCCAGCTATAGATTTCTTCTAACTGTGAAGAGACTGTGACCTGTTTCAGATGCTATGAGTAAATAGATAAATGAGCTGTAAGCTCACATACTCCTTTTTTAAACTGCACTTTCAGTAACAAACTAAACATAATTCTCATGATGTCCAAATTTAAGCAATTTATTTTAACTATTTATTTATTTACATTTTTATCCTGCCCAACTAGTACTGAAGCTACTACTCTGAGTGGAAAAGACAGCAAAATAAAACAATAATAAAAAACAATAAAAAACACTGGAAAGGACAAATTCCAAATTCCAAGACATAAACATGAACCTATGGGAACAATGATAAAAACAACCCATAGGTTGCAAAGAATTAATGAAAGGTGGGCCAAGAGGAAAATGTTATATTACTTTGGGGCAAGCTAGATAAAGGCTTGGGAGAACAGTCAGGTCTTAAGTTGCCTCCTGAAACACATGAAAGATGGGGCTAGTGGCACTTCTAGTGGAAGGGAATTCCAGAGTGAGGTGGCCACCACAAAGTAGGCCCAATTATCGTTGGATGACTTCCGGGCCTCCCCCGGGGTGGCCACTTGGAACATACCCATATAAGAGGTCCAGGTGGGATGGGTAGATGATTTGAGGGAGAGGGTATCAGACAGGTAACAAGGTCCTAACCATTAAGGGCCTTAAAAGCTGACATAAGCACCTTGACTTTGGCCCAGAAGCATACAGGCAGCCAGTACAGATGGGCAAGGACAGGAATTGTATGGTCATAGTGAGATGTTCCAGAGACCAACCTGGCAGCAGCATTCTGCACCAGCTGCAGCTCCCAAACCACCTTTGGGGCAGCCCCACATAAAGAGCATTGCAATAGTTTATTTTCGAGATTATAAGTGCATAGACCAACATTGTCAGGGATTTCTTGTCAAGATAGGAGTGAAGGTGTGTAATCTGACTAAACTGGAGAAAGGTTATTGTTACTGTAACTACTGTTAATGAGAAAAAGCCATGATTAAAATATTTCAGATTCTGGCCCACTCTCACAAATTTTAAGCAAACCTCTGTTCCCTAAGTCTGGACTTTAAGGGAAGTATAATTATAACAAAATTGGAAGCGGAAGTTTCTGATCTCCTTCATTAGAATGTGAAAGAGAGAAAAAGAAAAGGACTATATGAACCCAAAGTTTACCACTGCTCACTTGCATAGCAGCTTGCTATTAAAACTGAATCTGGTATCTTTCTCTATTTCAAAGGCAATTGGGGTGTTTTCGATTACATCAGTAGAATGCAATAAAATCTGAGCAAGCTTGAATACTTTACTAATATTGACATGTCCAGTATCCTATTGGTGTTTGCATTTATCTGAAGTTTACTTGATCATGGTTAACTGATGATATGGCAGAGCATATCTAGGTTGCACAATTAGATGCATGATCAAGTACATGATTGAGACATGCCACAGCATTTTGGCAATTAACCACAAATGGTACATTATATAAATCTTATGTATAAGTAGGATGCTGGCCAAAGACTTACTCTAGCTACACATAGCAGGAGACTATGTGGTCTGGTTTACAAGCAATAAGTGTCTAAAATTCAATAGTAAGTCACAATTAGAGTAGGCCCACTGCATCAGCAGGGATCTACGGAGTCAACTCTTTTGTAAATTCTACTGATTCAATGGGCCTAATCTACTTGTGACTTGCTACTAGATTTCAATCGATATGTGATAATGTATCTTGTATGTATTTTTTATTCCTTTCATGCATATTGTATCCTTTGTATACAGTGCAGACTTGGACAAACTGACAGGCCTTCACGCCCAGAAAAGGCTTGTGATCTAGTAGAGGAAACCCATGGGTGGAAGTGTGGTGGTGGATTTTGCCAATTTCTACCTCTCTCCATATATCTCATTCCCTTACATTCTGGACAGTCTCTCTACCCTCTACAACAGATATCAAAGGCAAAGGGGGCTGTAGGATGAATTAGCAAATGCTAATTTTCTCTTTGACTGAAAGAATTCTATCTGGGATTTGATTCAGGAATGCTCCCATCAGTTACAGGACAGTCTTCATCTAAGCCATTGCCTTTAATATAATTTAAACAGTTTATATTATAGCATATCTTAAATTGTGTGCTTTATTAGCCTGTTAGAGACCTATTCTTGGGCAACTAGGAGTATTAAAACCAAACTTATAAAAAGTAAAAACTAAGAAGAAGATATAATATATCTATCAATGAATACAATGGGCTTGTAGATTAACATACTTGTGGAACCATTGCAACTCTCTGGTTTCTTTTGGGTGATCTTGTATTCATTTGTCTTTCTTCCTCTTCACAAAAAGAACGACTTCGTTTTGAACTTCTGAAAGGCTGAAGCATATAAAAAATGAATCTTTGAGTCAACAGACAAGAAAGTTTCACAAAATACCTCCCTGCAATACAGCAAACCCAAGATAAATAAAAAGATATTCCATTCTATATCAATGTCCATGATTTATTTAGCAAAATTACAGTCTAGATCCCTTTAATTTTTAACTTATGTATTTTCTGTTCCTTTTAGTTGAAAACTATAGTTTAAATTCCCCTTCACAGATTCCTGCCTTGTCATGGCAAAGGGGCTTGAGTAATTCAGAGAAGCTATGGACTACGCCGTGCAGGGAGACCCAAAATGGACAGGTCATATGGAGAGTTCTGACTAAACGCAATCCACCTGGAGCAGGAACTGGCAAGCCACTCCAGGATCTTTGCTAAGAAAACTCCATGGACAGAAACAGAAGGTAAAAGAGATGACGCTGGAAGATGAGCCCCTCAGGTCGGAAGGTGTCCAACATACTACTGAGGAAGAGCGGAGGGCAAGTACAAGTAGCTCCAGAGCTAATGAAGTGGTTGGCCCAAATTTGAAAGGATGCTCAGCTGTGGATTCACCTGGAAGTGAAAGGAAAGTCTGATGCTTCAAAGAAAAATACTGCATAGGAACCAGGAATGTAAGATCTATGAACTTAGTAAGCTGGATGTGGTCAAACAGGAGATGGCAAGAATAAACATTGACATCCTGGGCATCAGTGAACTAAAATGGATGGGAATGGGCGAATTCAATTCAGACAATTATCATATTTACTATTGTGGGCAATAAGCCTGTAGAAGGAATGGAGTAGCCCTCACAGTTAACAAAAGAGTGGGAAAAGCTGTAACGGGATACAATCTCAAAAAGGACAGAATGATTTCAATATGAATCTAAGGCAGGCTTTTCAACATTACAGTAATCCAAGTTTATGCACCAACCACCGATGTTGTAGAGGCTGAAATTGACCAATTCTATGAAGACTCACAACACCTTCTAGAAATGACAGCAAAGAAAGATGTCCTTCTCATTCTAGGGGATTGGAATGCTAAAGTAGGGAGGCAAGAGATAAAAGGAACAACAGGGAAGTTTGGCCTTGGAGTTCAAAACGGGCAAAGGCTAATAGAGTTTTGTAAAGAGAACAAGCTGGTCATCACAAACACTCTTTTCCAACAACACAAGAGGTGACACTACACATGCCCATCACCAGATGGGCAATACCCAAATCTGGTTGATTATATTTTTTGCAGCCAAACATCGAGAAGCGCTATACAGTCAGCAAGAACAAGACCTGGAGCTGACTGGCTCTGATCATCAGCTTCTCATAGCAAAACTCAAGCTTAAATTGAGGAAAGTAGGAAAAACCACTGGGCTAGTCAGGTATAATCTAAATCAAATCCCTTATGAATACACAGTGGAAGTGAAGAACAGATTTAAGGAACTAGATTTGGTGGACAGAGTGCCTGAATTACTATGTTTGGAGGCTCATAATACTGTACAGGAGGCAGCAACAAAAACCATCCCAAAGAAAAGGAAATGCAAGAAAGCAAAGTGGCTGTCCAATGAGGCCTTACAAATAGCAGAGAAGTGAAGGGAAACAAAATGCAAGGGAGATAAGGAAGGTTACAGAAAATTGATGCAGACTTCCAAAGAATAGCAAGGAGAGACAAGAGGACCTTCTTAAATAAACAGTGCAAAGAAATAGAGGAAAATAATCGAAAGGGGGAAAAACCAGAGATCTGTTCAAAATATTGGAGATATTAAAGGAACATTTTAATATGGACATGATAAAGGACAAAAATGGGATGGACCTAACAGAAGCAGAGGACATCAAGAACAGGTGGCAAGAATACACAGATGAATTATACCAGAAAGATCTGGATGACCGGACAGCCCAGCTAGTGTTGTTGCTGACCCTGAGCCAGATATCCTGCAGAGTGAAGTCAAGTGGGCCTTAGAAAGCATGGCTAACAACAAGGCCACTGGAAGTAATGGCTTTCCAGTTGAACTATTTAAAATCATAGGCTTCAGCAGTATGTGGACCGAGAAGTCCGAGAAGTACAAGCTGAATTTCGAAGGGGCAGAGGAACTAGAGACCAAATTGCTAACATGCGCTGGATATTGGAGAAAGCCAGAGAGTTCCAGAAAAACATCTACTTCTGCTTCATTGACTACGCAAAAGCCTTTGACTGTGTGGACCACAACAAACTATGGCAAGTCTTTAAAGAAATTGGAGTGCCTCACCACCTTATCTATCTTCTGAGAAATCTATATGTGGGACAGGAAGCAACAGTTAGAACTGGATACGGAAAAACTGATTGGTTCAAAATTGGGAAAGGAGTACGACAAGGCTGTATACTGACTCCCTGATTATTTAACTTATATGCAGAATGCGTCATGCGAAAGGCTGGACTGGATGAATCCCAAAATGGAATTAAGATTGCCAGAAGAAATAGCAACAACCTCAGATATGCAGATGATACCACTCTGATGGCAGAAAGTGAGAAGGAATTAAAGAACCTTGTAATGAGGATGAAAGAGAAGAGTGTAAAAAAATGGTCTGAAGATCAACATAAAAAAAAACTAAAATCATGGCCACTGATCCCATCACCTCCTGGCAAATAGAAGGGAAAGATATGAAGGCAGTGACAGATTTTACTTTCTTCGGCTCCATGATCACTGTAGATGGTTACAACAGCCACGAAATTAAAAGACACCTGCTTCTTGGGAGGAAAGTGATGACAAACCTAGACAGCATCTTAAAAAGAAGAGACATCACTTTGCCGACAAAGGTCTGCATAGTCAAAGCTATGATTTTTCCAGTAGTGATGTATGGAAATGAGAGCTGGACCATAAAGAAGGCTGATTGCCGAAGAATTGATGCTTTTGAATTGTGGTGCTGGAGGTGACTCTTGAGAGTCCCCTGGACTGCAAAGAGAACAAACCTATCCATTCTGAAGAAAATAAACCCTAAGTGCTCAAGCTGAGGCTTCAATACTTTGGCCATCTCATGAGAAGAGAAGAC